AAAGCCTTATAAGCTTCTCTAGAAAATAATTCTCTACCAATGTGGGATGGAAGCTAAACTTCCAACCAACAAATTTTCCAACAAGTCTTGTGTTTCCAGATTTCGATGAGATCGCAATCCTATTAATCCAGAAATCTAGAGACATTAATCCAGAGTTAAAATAGTTTCTAGAGTAACAAATTTCAGAATTTTAACTCTGCAAATTTGGGGTTTGTTGTTGTATTCGGAAATGTTTTCCAGAGTTTCATATATGTTTATCTTCAGAGTTTCTTGGTGCGACCCATGAATCTGACCTCCAACATAACCAAAGTACCTAAATGCTTACCGGGTGAGCGCTTACTATTAGGAGTCGATACTATGATTTATTTTACCGGGTAAGATTGTATTACATCAAAATGGTATCGTATGCAACAATTTACCCGATAAGCACATACCCGGGTAAGAGTCGTCAGTAAGACTCTTCATCTTTATCATTGTTCTAATCGGGTAAGTTTTTGACCCTTATCATGTTCGGTAAGGAAAGTTATTCAGTAAGCACTTTCTAGGTAAATGTTTAGTAAACGGCCCCAAGAGGCCTACTTGAATGACATCCTCGTCAAAAAAGGTAGCGAATAAAGGAATAGTAAACAATGCCAACAAGTCTTATCCATTAACGGAGCTAGAAGTGTCTACCCAGTCGACTCCCGGTATCGACAGTAGACCTAGCAGAATATAGGGGAAGTGGACCAAAACGGAGACCTGTGATCAAACAAAAATCAGACTGTCTAAAGCTAAGATCGTAAGAACCGACACGGAAGTGGATTTTGCCATCCAGCGAGTTGACCGGCAAAATCTGTGATGGTACAGATGAACAAGAAGCAGATCTCCATTGGTAGACAACATATCCAACCATGGACCAAAAGCAGTGTTCTACCTGGCTTTTCTGTAATCTTTCCTAAAATAGTAATCCTCTGGGTATATTTTTCACGTTCTGGAGTGCATCTATGTTTATGCTTTACGAATATGATATTTTTTGGGCATTTCTAATAATATCAAGTCTTATTCCTATTTTGGTATTTTCCATTTTGGGAGTTTTAGCTTTGATTAGCAAATGACCGGAGAAACTTTCTAGTTATGAATCAGCCAGGGCCCCCGTGCCCAGCTCCGCTGGAGAGGCCTCGCATGATCTGAGAAGTGCTAATTTGGTTCGGATAGACTTCATTCAAGAACGTTTCTGAGATGAAAATGTAGCAAATTATGTCTGTTTGTTCGAATAAGGTCTTCTACCCTCCTGACTAAAATGAGTCTTGGTTCTACCCACCTGGCAAGAATTTTTTTCGATACGTTCCTATGAAGGCGGTCAAAGGACAAGCATTTGCAGACTTCTTCGCAGATCATGCCATGAATTTTTACGAACCAGTGGAGCTCGATGAAGAAGTCCTTGCCTTTGCAAAGGTGATTCCATGGACTCTCTACTTTGATGGATCTAGCACTTTGGGGGCTACGACTCTCATTTGAAAGATTGTCTCTATGACATGGTCTTAAAGCATAGTTTGGACTGCCCTAAACTTTAAAGTCTTTGTAAAGGATGAAGTTTTCTATTTCCTCGCCAAACCCAATCCCAAGCAATAGTCAAGAAGAAAAACTCTTAGGATTTTGTTAGTCGTACTTACATTGCATGATGATGATAATAAGAAGAGAGCTTTGGACTAATTTAATTTAGCTAAGAAAGTATCATTTACTTACGAAATCTCAAATATCTCTCGCTTCTTCAACTTGTTCATGTTCGTCTATTCGGGACGGAGGGCAAGCAGTGAAAGCCTTAGAATGACTGTTGGCCTAGAATTCCAAATTTGAAATAAAAAATAAAAAATGAGAATTCTCTTTATAAACCCTTTTCGAGACACTATGTACTTATAGCCTCCACGATAAGCAAGTGAATGGGGTCGGTGCGTGGCGAACGGAACGGTTSATCAAGCCATTTTTAGCCTTCACTCCCTAAATAGGAATAGAGCTACTTTACAAATAGGGCTAAAGCTTTCAGGTTGGAGGTGAGCTAAAATGGGATGACGAGGATTGAATGGACCGGAAAGCTGGTAGGGTTTGGGACGAGTGTGAGCTTTTTATGGATGACAGGCTCAGATACATGGACTTTCAAATGCCTTATAAATTAAATTTATGCATTAGAAATAGGTTACAATTTAGAATCCGCTATTTTATGTTTACTCTAGTTTTTGTTATTTTTGATGTTGAAACGGTCTTTGTCTTCTGTATAAGGCAAGCCTCATAGCACCTAGGATCCTAATAACATAAAGATGTTTTTCTTGTACAAAGAATAAAAATGTAAAAACCCAACTCTCTGAAAATGTAAAAAAATACAACAAATGTAAAAACCTAACTCCCTAAATGTGTAAAAATACAACTCTCTATCACTAAAAACATAAAAACGTATAAAAAACCCAACAATTTAAATATGAAGATCATATTTTGCGAGTTTAATTTATTCACAATATTTTAAAAAAAAATCCGATGCTACAAGATCTTTCACAACAAAGCATAAAAATGAAAAGAAAAAAACACAGTAAACATACAAAAACCTAACTCTCTAAATATAAACATCATATTTTACAAGTTTGATTTATCCACCAAGACATGTTTACATTATCAATGCTACAAGATCTTCCACTACAATGCATAAAAATATGGAAAGAAAACACAAGAAACGAATAAAACCTCAACTCTCTAAATATAAATATCATCGGTTCGCATAGCGGGTTGGATATCCAGGTTAATCAAAAAAAAAATCATATATTTACGAGTTTGATTTATTCATCAAAACATTTTTAAATTCCCAATGCTACGAGATCTATCACTACAAAGCATAAAAATGTAGAAAAATCCAACTCTCTAAACATGAAAATCATATGATATGTAGAGGGTTTGATTATCGACTAAAATATGTTTAAATTTCCAATGCTACAACATCTATCATTACAGAGTATAAAAATATAAAATAACACATAAAACGTTCATAAACACAACTCTACATATTGAGAGAGTTTGCATGTTTAAATTCCAATACTACAAGATTTATCACTAAATAGCATAAACATGTAAGAGACAGAGAATATTCATAAACCCAACTCTCTAAATATGTTTAAATGCTACTATAAAACATAAAAATGTAAATAACACCAATCTCAAAATAAAGAACACGTTTTTTTAATTTTCAATATTGCAAATAGATTATTGATTCTGACTTGGTTATAGGGAGTACTAATCGCGCCCCTTTAATAGGGGATGTTGAATACTTGGAAATCGTGCATCTCTAAAATCTATAAAATATCAAATCGATTTAATAATATATTGTATTTAATTATTATTATTATTTAATATATATATATATATATATATATATATACTCCCTCCATATATTTTATAGATGCAGTACAATATTTATAT